CCAGACAGAGTTAGAACTTTCACTGAGTACTTTGAAATTGCAGAGCCGGAAGTAATAACTGGACACCCAGTCATGTAAGTAGCCAAAATAAGCGTCAAAAGTGCAGTTGTATCAAAAGCAGGATATACAGTTTTAGACCAGTAGATAGAAAAAACACTGATTTGCAGTCAATGAGAGTGCTTGAAGGTGTTCATGCTGGGTGTGTCTTACCTCTAGCTTCCCACTAACATGTGTGAGTAATAAGAAGCTGCAGCTTCAAAAGAAGCTAAGAAAGGATATTGTGGTTAGAGGTAAGTAAATGAATTGGTGAAAATGATTATTTGGTTGCCCCAAAAAGTACAGTTGACAAATGTATGCTGTTATTGCTAACGTATTCTACTGTGGCATAGTTTTTTTGTTGTATGTCCCATCATTGAAGGTTTTCTTTTATGTAGCGACTCAACTCTTTTCTAGAATTCTGGAGGCATTTGTGTTTTTTGACTGTTACTGCACTTCCTTGCTGTATTATTAGCAGAACGAAAAGTAAGTACAATCTGTTCATTCTTATTTCTTCGTCATTTTCTGTTATATAGGTACTCCAAAAGCGGTTTTTATTTATTTGTTTATTTAATTAATTAATTTGTTCATTTGTTTATTTGTTTATTTATTTATTTCTTTTATTTCATTTATTTATTCGTTTGTTTATTTAATCAAATTATTTATTTATTTGTTTATTCATTTATTTTATTTTGTTTCATTTTATGTTATCTATTTACTTAATTTAATTAATTAAATTCATTTATCATCTTTTTTATTGATTTCACTCTCATTTTTATTGTCTTACTGTGAGTTTTGAATCCTTTTTCCGTAATTTATTTTACCGCAGCTGGTTTTCTATGCGTTCACTGAATGCAGTGTTAGGGGTTGAACTTCAGATGCTGCTTTTGTGTTTAGCAAAATCAGTTCCTCCCTCCATGTAAAGAAAAAAGGGCTTTTTCTATGGCCATACTTTTGTTCCTAATAATGCATAGTTGGCTTGGCAACTTAATGATGAATATAGAGTTAGTCGAAAGAGGTCAGTGATTAGATAAATAGCTGCTGTGATTACGCAGAAAGCCGGAGTCATTTTGTTGGTGCAGGCTTAGAGGAGCATTGAAATGATTGAGGAGCAGGAAGCAGGGGTTGCAGTTGCATGCATTAAATATGCACTTTGTATTTTGAGGTGGGCTTGTGAAATTGTTGGTAAAACAGTTTGGTGATTGATTTATGCATTCGGAAATTTGCTTCAGTCGTTGTTGCAACTCACGGTTCAATCTGCGGTTTATTTCTTCCTGTTTTTCTGGATACGCTCTGTAGCATTTGTTTCGTTTGTTTATTTTCATCAACATATGTTTTTTTAATACGGCCTTTTGAGTTTTCTTTTAGCAAACTTTTATTCAGTTTGTTTTACAACGGTCGCTTGACACTGTAGTGGTTCGAATATGTCTACTTTTCTGGAATTTCTGCAGATGAATAAGCATAAGGTTTTTTTGCTTTTATTTGATTGTCGTTACGAATTTAAGCAGCAGTAAAGGTAGTTATTGTAGGAGTGAAATACTGGAAAAAATTTTTTTAATAATCATAGTGTTCAGACGTTTCGACCGAAGAAAAAATTTCGCGCAGGGACTTTACGATATAACCTTCATAAGCAGGCACAAGCCACCTTAAGTGCTGGTTTGGATCTTCGTGCTGCAGTTCGATTGCCGCAAAACGAGGTATTCGAGGATTGGTTAGCTGTTCATAGTAAGTTGGGATAATGCTCTATACTTTATTGTTTTATAAATGTGGTAGAGCATGAAGTTTTATCGAAAATGGACTTTTTTGTGGACTTTTTCTGTATAGTTTCTTTTCTCTTGTAGTCTTTGTCGCTCATTTTGACTTCGTTTTTTCAAAGTGATTTTTCATAAAATTTTAAAAGGATGTCATTGTATATAAAATATCACTTGTTTTTTTTCTGTTTGGTTAGAGATTTGGAAACCACTTTAGTTTTAAAATTTAAGGGCTCAACTGCAGGTGTGAGTGTAATTCCCAACGGTGGGATTTTTGTTGCAATTTGTTCTTGTATATTAGTCCTTATATGCTCGTCTTGCCTTTTGGATGTTTCGCCTTCATTTTATAATAGGTGCCTTTTATAGCTTAAGCTTTGGTATCGGCTCTTTAGGTGTTTGATTAGTTTGCTAAGCGTGGAAAGCAAAAGAAGTTTTTTTTGTTTCATTGAGAGAAAGATAAGGTATTTTGTGGAATTTAGCAGTGCATTGTGATTTTCTTCAGAGTTGGGCTCAACATATTTAGTTCTTTTTAACTTTTCTGCGGTTATTTTAGCAGTCGATTTCTTCAACAGAATCAATCTTTTGTATGGAACGGTGTCTGACGTTTGCACAGAAGAAAGCTGCCCAACGATGAGCGGTGGTCCACGGTAGATAATTAGTAATAATTTTTTTATGTTGACGAAACTTCACACAGTTTACAAAACATTTTATTATTTTTAAGTTATGAATACTTGTGGCAAGATGGAGTCGAGTTCAAAAAACCGACAAAATTGTCTGCTCCAGAGTACGTCAACCACCTAATGGACTGGATTGAGGCGCGTATTAATGATGAGAGTATATTCCCTTCTGATTCATGTCGGTTCTCATGTTATTTACAGTGGAGGTTTACTCACTAGTAAAGTTTTTTCTGGTATTAGTTAGAGAGCAAATTTCTTGAGGAATTCATAAAAAATAAAAACTCAAATTTCTTGGTATCGTCATAGTTTTGTGAAAAATATTGTCTGCAGGAAGCCACTTGCTGTAGTTTCAACAGTTTTTCTAGTAATGATGTGATGTTAATCTAGGTATTCCGTTTCCTCGCGATTTCGTAAAAGTCTGCAAAAAAATACTCTCTCGTTTGTTCCGCGTCTTTGTCCACGTTTACATCCACCACTTCGATCGTCTGGTGGAATTAGGGGCTGTTGGTTTTTCACTAATTTTTCATTACAGAATGTTAACAAGTTTCTATTTTTAGCACTTTATTTATATTAAAATTTTCAAAAATAACCTGTATGGCAAAATTTGTTTTTTTTTTTAGCAATTTGATTGTTTAGGAAGGTTTGACTTTATAGATTTTCGATTTGTTGTTCTGAAGTTAATGCTTTTTGGTAATTTTTCATTTTTCGTCTGAAACGGAGAAAGATTTTCAGCAGCATTTTAGAGATTCGCTGCAGTGAATTTCTACCCGTATTATAATTGTGTTTTTCTTTCAGGAACCCCATGCTAATACGCTGTACAAACATTTTTATTTTTTCGTTACTGAGTTTGATTTGGTGTCTACAAAGGAGTTGGATGCTTTGGTAAGTCAAGTAGTAATAATATATTACGTAAGCTTTCACTGTTTCACGTTTATATCACGTTTGTTCCTGAGCACTCGCTTTATGCCACCTCATCTTCTCTTTAATATTTAGAATTAGTGGACAATTAAGAGTCATAGTGAACTGAACTACTTGTTTGCTGTATTTCCTATCTAGAAGCAACTTCTTGCTTTTTCTGTCTTTTTTTTTTTTTTTTTTTTTGCAGAAACTGATCGGTTTTGAGGTTACTTTTCCTTTTACAGAAAGACCTGACCGAGCATCTGACCGATAAATCGAGACAAAAATGAAAAATTCTTTCTAATGATGGCATTCCTTTCGTAATCAAGCATCTCCATGAAGGATTTGGTGCAGCTTTTATAAACCCTTCATCAGATTGTGATCACATCGATACTTTATACCTGTTTAAATTGTTCTTTACTTCCTGATTTGGTTTTACTTCCTCAATTATAATTTTTTCTTAAATCCTCAACAGTCATTGTGTTGTGAAACCTTCAAAACTGATTGAATAAGAACTAGTTTACTACAGTTCTTACAACAATTAGGAGAAGAAAGAGGTTGGCCATCTAGTTAAGTTTTCCTACGCAAGGTTCGTAGAAATGTTTTCGAGTAAGCTACGGTCATGAACATTTTAAATAAAAATTTATGTAGAGCGAATTGCAAAGGAATTCGAGGCTGTAAGTAATCTCATGCGTGTCTCTGTTGATGGTTATAATGACAGAAGCATGAGTTTTTCTTTAATTTAAATTATTTCTGAAGCATTAAATGGTTCTTAGAAAGTTGCTTGTATTTGTTATCGAGATTGTACTGTACTTTTTTCATTTTTACTGTTTCGAAATAACATGAGCTGTTAATAGTCAACGTAGGGGAAAATAGGTTTACTGGACGAAGTCATCATTAATTTCCTGTTTTGATAGGGTCACTATTGGATAGCATCTTTACTTGGTTCTTTTAAGGTGGCTGGCTGATATATGAAAGTTTTTGTTAACGTTTGCTGCATTTCTGTACTTCTTTATTTAGTATGATTATGAGGTTTCTTTTTCGGAGGGAGGGGGAGATGAGTAAATTGTTCCTTGACCCAGTTCTTGGATATTTTTTGAGAATAGTCTGGTGGTAGGATGTACTTAAAAAGTAGGTAATTGAGTGATGGGTGTCCTTGGTTTGGCAATAATTCTGGTTCTTTGTTAGATGGATTTGTTTCAAAAAAATTTTTGAGTTTTTTCAAGAATAACAGTTATCGATGTGCAAGAAATTTGGTTCAGTTCTATAATGCTTAGTTAATTCTAAGGATTAGGTGTTTTTTGGTGTTAGCAGCACATGTCATATACTTTTTTTTTGTTTTTTTTTTTTCTTTGCAACTGGCGTAGTTTCTCCTTGGAAAAGATTTATATATTGCCTCGGTACTTTTCGTCATTGGTGGTTGTTGTCGTTTCGTTTTAATGGGATGAGGTCGTTAGCTCTCGCTTTACTTTGAGTGGGTTTGCGGTTGGTTGATGGATTCACAGCTTAACAAAGATTGTCAATCCGGTTGATTAAACGTCTGTCCGCCCAGGGCAGTTTTGGTTTTAGGAGGGCTGATAGCGTTGTTGAAGTCTGATAGCCATAGTCGTTTTGGTCAGCGCAGTATCGGTACAAAATAGCTTTGGCGAACAAATAGAGTGTTTGCGAGAACAGAAATTAATTCGATTAACCAGTTTGGTTAGTGGAACGGGATTGCAGTAATAAAGTTGCTGATTGGAGTGTGGTGAAGGTAGGTATTGATACAGTAATGATGGAGGTGATTGCCAGCTGGAAAAACAACTTTTGATAATTTCTTCAAAGAAATGTCGCTGTAAACTGAACATTTAGGCAGTAAAATGATGTGTTTTGTGGCGTATTACTGTTGAGCTTTTTTATTTTTTCATCTTACACCATTTATTTACGCGGGGATGAAGAAAAAGAAAGTTTTTTTTGTTGTTATAACCATTTAGTTTTTATTTCAGTTGTCTTTATTGAGTCAGTTTGACTTTAAAATCTTTTCCTATATATCTTTTTACTTAGCATATTAATTCTTATTACTTTCAGAGTTCTAAGAACAGTTGGTTTAATTCGAAAGAAATTGAACGAGGTATCAAAGTTTATTAGTTTACCATGCAGTTGTTCAGCATTCAAGATAAGGAAAAGCTTGAAGAGTACCGGTCTTCTCTATATAACGATTTCAAGCCCCTTGCTCAACTTAGGCTCTTTGAAAAGCGCTGAAGCAACGCGATTTACTCAGCAGTTGGAGATTTTTCGTGCAGAAATGTGCTTTAAAAAGGTATTTCCAATCAAATTCATGTCTAGAACGTGTTTTTTTTGTTATCTGAGGGCAAATGCAGTTAGACATAATCATCATTTTGGTATTACTAAATGATAATGAAAGCTTCAAAACTATGAAAATTTTCCATGCTGAGCTTTTTATAACTTCTTGCTTTGAGCGTTTGCCGGCAAATCTTTGTTACACTTCAGCCAATAGATGATTTCAAACTGAAAGTTGCTTTTTTTTCCCTCAACCTCAAAAGAATTGTTTGCACCAAGGTTAACTTTTTGTACCTGGTAGGCTATTGTCTGATCAGACCAAAACCAAAGAAAAAAACATTGTAAAATAATTGGTTCGGCATGCTTGGGTTAAGAAGTTGAGTTTTTTTCACATTAGAATGATGATTTTAGAATGATAGAAGGTTCTGGTGCTTTAGAATGATGCTTGACTGGCAAGACCAAATTCTGGTTTCTGAACTACTCAGTGTTTCTGTTATAATGGATGGTTTGCTGGAAAATTATGTTGAATTTCAAAATCTTGTACGTAATTTAGCTCGTAACACTTGCCACCTGTTCTTTACACCCATCTGGTATCCATAATTTTTAAGCTTAAGGCGACAATTAGCTGCTAACTTAATGCAGGTGCAGTAGGATTTTAAAGAAAAGTTCATTAGCATCAGTGTTTCTGAACTGTAATTATCACTTTGAAGAAATAAAAGTGTTCCTGAAAGGCAGGGAATGTAATATTTTTAAAAGGTCTTTAAAAAATGATTTTCCGAGTGTTCACTGATTAGCAAAAAAATTTGAAGAATTATCTGGTGATGAGGTATTTCTACAAAGAACAGATCTTCAACGAAGTCATTACTAATCCACAAGTATTTTTTGTCATCTCTGAGCCTCTACCCTTAACCACTTCTTAGATTGAATATCAGAACAGCTACTTAGAATGACATAGATTTTTGAATGGGGACGCTTTTGGATCGAGTCACAGCAGCTTTTTTTTTAAAAGTAGGTTTTTGCCACTTGAAACGGGCAAGAGTTTTTACTTTAATGGTTACGGAGAAACAGTATCACTTGATGAACTATGGTATAAAGCTTTATGGAGTTTGTGCACTGAAAATCAATTGGTAAAAAAGATTTTTTTCTGTAATTTCTATAATATGCTCTCCCATAACTTTATAAGCATTTGGGAACTTTTTAGTTTTTATTCTTGTTCTCTAGAAAATTTCATTGTCAACAAGTAAGATGGCTCTGAAAAGTGAAAACTTTTACGGAAAAATTTCTAAAGAGTGACAAAAGTAGTATTCTTTTAATGCATCCAAATAGGAAATTGATTTTTCTCTGTGGGAGTTTTTTAGTCTGAGAAATAGGGTGCAGTGTTTTTTTGGCTACCGCTTCTGTCGCTGCTCAGTAGGGTTTTGAAGGAACTAGAGAGCGTGAATGTTTATCAAGTAAAGGTAGTTTACTGCGTCAGTTCCACCTGCACCGTTTTGTTCCATATTATTTGTTTATAAATTAATTCTCTTTTTTCTTTCGAAAACATTTGCTTTAAATGTCGAGGATGATGGTTCTCCACTTAAGTTCTAATCCGTTTGATTCTAAGATCTAATTTATTAATCAACGACTGTTGTGTCATATTTCTAAAAGGTAATTCAGAGAATTTTGTTTTTTTCTTTAAGACTTGGGAGCGGGGGGGGGGGG